CTCTCTCTCTCTCTCTCTCTCTCTCTCGATGGACTCTGTATCCTGTCACCACGCCCATCTGTTCTCACCAAATGACCCATTAAAATTCAACGACACGAAATAGCCTAGTTCCCGACGCTCCAGGAGCACATTATTCTCCCGTCCTTTGTCCTTTCGAATCCTTGACGAGACTGTTAAATCTGCTGTGCGCACGCGTGGCCCACATTTACTTTGGATTAGAACGAAGCAATAACTGTCGCTCGTTTATTGTCGCCGAGACGGTAACAAACAGTCAAGACGTCAACCGTGCGACACAACGGCGGCTGGGCACCGAGTGTGTCGTCGCGGTCGAAAAGGACAAGGACAATGTTGTGTGTCGCTTAAAGGACTTGAACTCGGCTTGTCAGCAATTTTCGGATTCTAGATTTAGAATAACGATTGCCCAGTGACTGACCGTAACCCTAACGAGGATAAGTGGGGTTAAAAACAACAACACGACATGTACATTTGTATAAAAACTAGACGTGTCAATCATAATATAACATACAATGAGGTTTTATTTTGATGGTTTACTGATGCAGCAGTTATGCAATAATCGGTATCATGGAAGAAAGCCATCTGCAATAAATCACAATGTCCATGGAAACAGAGAAGGACCATCTGCAAAAGCACACAAACACCAAATGAAATGATCGCTCAAATCATATTCATCTGTTAATATTTCCATAAATTGATAGTCTAGATTATTATTCATTTATGTATTTTTCAGAAGAAAACTACATTTCGTTAGAACTAAACAAAAGGGACAGTTATTTGGATTTCTGCTTTTTTGAGTCATCACTGTATGTTGTATGTGTACGTTTGGATGTTTTTAAACGTTTAAGCGGACTTCAGAACTCGCATATCCACGAACCAGGTAAGATGCGACTCTCACTCTGCATAGCATGAGTGGAAGAAAGCAGAAAGCCTCATTGGGGTTACGTCACACCCAACTGAAGTGTGAAGTGTGTGCGTTATATTATTAGAGCAGCAAAACATGAAGTTTGTCTTCCTTGGCCCATGCTGCTTTCTGGTTATGTAAGAGACGATTTGCAGAGCCGCGAATAGCTTCCTCCTACTCAGCTGACGCGAGGCCCAGGTGAAGTGAGCGCCACCACAAACCGGCTCTCTTCATAACGAAATGATCACCATATTGTGCCAGCCGCAACGATAGTATCAGCATATTGGAAAAATATGATGCACAAAAGCCCACGGTGCAACTGAAGAAGTGAAAACTTCTCGGAAAATCGTGCACTGTGAGCAAAGAAATACAACACAGTGCAATAGAAAAAATACTCTTTGCTCTTACATTACCATTTAAAATATGATTGAATGTCAGGCACGATTGTATGCAGGTACCTTTTTTTTATTTTTTATTTTTTTTTAAGAAAAAAGAAAATATTACAAATAACATGCCAATGTAATTCAATTACTAAGAGGGAATCATTTTGCGATTGTGTCCTCTGACCTATTCATCACTCAAAAAGTCTTAAAAATCATTGAAAACAAAAATGCGCATCGCTCTCATATTTACTGTAAAACTATAGTCCACTGAAAACCTAATGTGTCCAATTAATGGATTTTTTTTTCTTTTTTAATCACTATCGTCGGGACAGTCCATTTACATGAAGAAACACTGAGTAGATCTATTCAAGATTCGAGATGTTAATCAAAAATATAAAACTTTTTTTTTTTTTTTTTTAAAAGAGCAGTTGAAAAAAAAATCTAAGATGGAAAAATGAAAACAACAAAGAGGGGGCCAGGGACTATACATGAATTCAATTTAAAAGCAATTAGAATTTCAGAAAAAAAAGGAGAGTGTATTTGAGTCTAGCAGGATTACAAAAAAAAGGTATTTTGAAATAAAATACATATCAGGGGTGTATAACGTTACAGTTTCATGTCAAATGTGACTTGGACTTTGGAAAGTATGATATTATTACACGACATCGATCAGTAACGGGCGGCTGAATATTCGTTTGGACAAATTTCCCCTCCCGTGCGATAACATCCAGTCCCTTTTGGCCCAAATACAGTAAGCGCAGCTACAACCATTAGACACACCGGCAAGCATTCGGCTGGTGCTGACAAAAATTTCCATCTCAGAGGGGACCACTGTTCTAAGCAATAAGACGATATTGGTATTTTGTCCTCCAACCTGCAAGGAGTTGTATTGTGTCTTTCTGCTTCTTTTAATAACTGTCACCGTCTGTGTTGTTTTTGCAGATCGGCTACTGGAATGAATATGAAAAATTTGTATATGTAATGGATCAGCAGGTCACCAACGAGTCGTCTTCTGTGGAAAACCGAACAATTGTGGTCACTACTATTATGGTACACTCCCAAGCAGGTTTTAAGTGTTTGACCTCAAGATTTCTGCCACTCAAGGTCAAGGTGTCCATTGTTGCAATCTGTCCTGGGAGGGTAGAACGATTTTCTTTTGAGTTGCTTTCCATCCACTCACTACATGTTGAAACAGTCGACTCACAAAGAGTGTTTCAACTGTACCCGTGTGGGTGTCAAAGCATTTTGGTTTTGTTATATTCCAGTGGGCTGTTGTAGTAGTGACATCACAATAACGGCATTGGTAAACGATAAGACTAGAGATAAACGCCCATTCGCATTCAGTGCCAACGTAAGTAACGGTGTTTCCGTCTCATGGAGTAAAGCGGTCAGTGACAGAGCGTTGACGCAGCCGATTTGAGAGGACATAAACAACCAAAGGCGAGCCCACCCTTGGTTGCTTATCACCTTTTTCGCCCCTCAAAATGTTCTTCAAGTTCAGTACTTCAAGAGTAAAAGTAGTTCTTGTGCTCTTCAGTAAAGATCAAGTCGCAGCAGGTGTGGAATCATCAGGCCTCTTTAAATGTAAAATAAGGTGCGCCTTATCTTACATTTAAAATCATGGCCTCGTCTTACTTCTGACTTTGTCTATTATGCTTGCATCCTAGGCAAATTCAGAACATGTTCTCAAAAAGTCGCAATGTGAAATGTCAACACATTATTTTTCTCACTCCCTGTCTGTTTTTTTTTTTAAACAGTTTTTACTCTTTTTATCATCTCTTTCTCATCTTTCTGACATCCCACTAATCAATGCCATGAAAGTATCACCAGAGTTATGAATAATGTTCTGTTTTTGGGAGGTTGGGGGCAGGATCGGCAATTGATGGACTGGCTGATAAAATTTACTAACGAAAGCACGGTGAAAATGATGATGACAGACTGACAATAATATTTTGGTTTGGCTTGAAATAATGACGGATTGACAATGACGGATGGGTGCCCAGGCGGCTGACCAATGACGGACCGACAAAATTTACTGACACGCCCACTCACGCTCCCACCCCCACATGTGCCATGCTGACCAAACCCCGCCCTCCCACTAAGTTGTAGCTCTAGTACGAGGTTCGTATGAGGGACCCCTTGATGTCCTGCTTTGTGCGCTACTCTTTCTGCTGGCCCATTTGGCCTCTTTACTGCAGCAGCGGCCCGCTTTATTTTGATGTGTGTTGACCATCCTCCCCTCACCCCTCCACACGTTGCGTGGCTGGAAAGCGATGCTGTGTGATTTTTGTCCACCGTGTGTGTGCGTGTGTGTGTGTGTGTGTGTGTGTGTGTGTGTGGGTTGGGGGCAGGATCGGCAATTGATGGACTGGCTGATAAAATTTACTAACGAAAGCACGGTGAAAATGATGATGACAGACTGACAATAATATTTTGGTTTGGCTTGAAATAATGACGGATTGACAATGACGGATGGGTGCCCAGGCGGCTGACCAATGACGGACCGACAAAATTTACTGACACGCCCACTCACGCTCTTCTGATGCCGATTGTGATTTAGGGCACTTGAGCGCCTGCAATGTCTCTTCTGTCACTGACGTTTACTTTATGA